TTTGCCAAAAGAAAAAAATTACCAATCAATCTATACCATTTCTATCTGTTTAATGCATTAACAAACAAAATAAATCTAAAGAAAAATATTGACCAAATTATAAATGAACTAAATAAAAATTTTTTTGCAAATCAAAAAAAACCGTCAAAAAAAGTTTCTTACTCAGTAAGTAATAATCGTTTCATTTTAACATTTACATAAAATAATTTGTGTAGTCTACGCAGATGGTGATTTCAATCTTTCGTATATAAGAATTTAACGTGCATATTGGCTTAAAGAGTACAAATATAACAGAATGCTTAGGACCTGGTTATTATCTGAATCACTACATTATTCATTTGATTAATCTTGAACACGATATCTAGTGCGTAAATTTCTCTTGTAACACGTGGACTCGTTCATAGTGCAACTTTTATTTGTACGCCGGGCCATTCACGTGCGGGAACTTTTATTCGCTTGGTTAAGTGTCTTGATTGCATGAAATGTTTAAGACTGCAGATTCTGGAGAAGGAATTTGCTCATGATGTTCTATTCAAATGAGAAAAATAGTGTATGTGATTTAGGTACGTATCACCCTTTGCATGACACGTTTAATATATTATTTAAATGATGAGGGATTTAGTTTAAGTTTTCACGTGTAAGAGTTTCTTTCATTTTATTTGATAAAATTATATGATTGAAATAATAATAATAATACGTGAAACTTGACTTAAATTTGAATTCCTTTAAATACAGATTCATTGCATATAGGAGCTTTTATAATTTGACATTATTTAATTATATAAACTCTTTATAATGTGTGGATTTATAAACATTTAAATATATATTAAATGGGCTGCTATTAATAGAAGTTTGTATAATTTTTATTAATAAAAGTCCGATGATGTTGAAGTTTAATTTTAAATCTGCTCCTCTGCAGGGCTTCTATTCGTTATTTAAATGATGTGAATGATCAGGCAGTTGTAGTTAGTTTAAAGTTAGCTTCTCTGTGTATTTATTCTTTGGCCAAATTTTGGCTTTACTTATATTTTTTAATATACGTATTGGATTTTAATGGTACTAGATTGTTAACAACACGATCTAGTTTAATAATTTCAATTATTAAAATGTTTAAGAGACGCTTATTACTTTTTTTTTTTCTTTACAGCCTGAACATCAGGCTCTAATCAATTTAATCGAAGCAACTCAAAAACGTCATTTATACGTTCAGTACGGTGTATATCTTGAAACTCGTGCTAAAGAATTAGGATGGTTTGAAATTTTACATAGTTCATTATATGAACCCTTGGAATTAATTGAGGCAAAAACCAGAATCTTAAACGTAATTATATTTTTTATAATTCTCTAAAATTTTATAATTATTATTAATATATCATTTATTCGATTCTAATTAGTTAAGTTCTATGAATGTAAACCAAACCGTAAAAACAATCAGTAAAACATTTTCAGAAGTCATGTTAAGTTCAAATGACTTGTTATTGTCTGGAATTCTTGATATAGAAGCTTTAGATACCTTAAACTCGCCAATTAAAACAGCACTAAAGAAGGAAAATTTGTGGTCTGCTGTTAAAGGATTATTACCAATTAACCCATTGCCCAATGAATTACAAAACTTTATAGTTAAATATGTGGAAACCGGTAATGCCGTAATTCCAGTTGATAATACAAATTTGTATCATAAGACTCGAAGTTTGATCGATGCAAT